GTTATTAGTTAGTCAATAGTTATATTATATAGTAGATAGATAAAAGAATCTTAATTGGCTATTAGAAATATAGTACAACTATATAACACTAAGTAATATTTGTGATATTGCTATTATTTTACAAATCCCAAGTACTTTTGTACAAGTTTCATGTATCTTAGCACCAAATTACTGTGCCAAGTACCACAATACAAAAATTCTAACTATTTCTGACACAAATCTCAAGTGTCTTTGCATGAACTCAAGTATTTCTGCACAAATCTCAAGTGCTTTTGTATGGATCCAAGTGTCTAAATACAAGCTTTAAATATTTTAAGCATAAATGGCAAATAATATAAATAATATCTCCAGTTGCCTCTATACAATTTCTATTATACTAAATGCATTATCATTTAATGTTGATTGAACTTTTACTGTCTCAAGTACAATGATATTTGATGTTGTTCAAACTTCCATTATTCTGAGTATAATATCAAGTAATATTGCTTGAATTCTTACTATTCCTGCTAGGTAAAAATATATATAAAAGTTATCTTTTCTCCTTCTCTGCCAATTTTAAGTTTTTATACTTCAACTTAGACATAATGACTTTTTAATTATAAAGTATGATATTCTTACTCTAGAGTAATTTTTATAGGCAAGATTGTTACTATGTGTGTTGTTAATAAAAGTTAATTTATATTGTTACTATCTCAAACTATTTGTCTGCTACTTTGTAGTAAAGTGAATTATTATATCTCTATTCTGTATATATTTGCAATAGTCAATTATTGTATTAGGTAACCTTGTTACTTGGTTGTATTATATCAAGAAAGTTACAACTCTGTAATAATATTATACAACTTTATATATATTGTTATAGAATAAATTATTATTATTTTATTATTATTAGTTATTATTATTATTTTATTATTATTATTTAGTATAGTCATTCTCTCCTATAATCACACAGTTAGATATATATCAACTAGGTGATTATAAAGAAGTATGACTTTATAAAGGTTACCTTTATATAAGTATATCTTATATTAAAAATAATTAATGTGATTTAATAGAGATAAATTTTATAATATATTATAATTAGGTTTTTTATTTTTTGTATATATAACATAACAGAATTAGTTATAAACTTTAGTGCAATGCTTATATCATATAATACAAACTTTGAAAACTAATTTAATACAACTAGAATTTGAAACCAGATTTATTTTTCATATCAATATATTCAGTCCCAAATTCTAAGCATAGTAATCATTGCATAATCACATCTTATATAGTAAGTAAAAACATATATATCAGATATATATATTTGTATTTATTTAAATATTAACTATGCTAATTATTTTTTGCTACTTAGATGCATTAAAGTTTCAACTAGTGATATTATCCAAACTATTTAGAACATTTTAAACTATATGATGAATAGTATTATATGGTTTTAACAATAACAATAAAACAGTAGTAATATTATTTATCTTGTAGTTTGGGACATTCCAAATAGTTTGAGCAACATTACTAGTTTCAACTAAGGCTCTTAACTTGATAATAAATACTGGAATATATTACATTGGAACCCAATTTAGTTAAGTAATATACTAAAATTTATATATCCTTTAGTTGTAATTCACATGGATCTCAATGATAACACAACTACTATTCTAATCAATTAGCATTAGGTAGTACTTTGCCCTCTTTCTTTAATAAGTCAGTTATAATAATTTGATAACTACAAAAAACTGCTACATACATATGTATGTATATTGTAAAAGACAAAATTGTTGAAATTTAAAAATAAAAGTTATAAAAGTTTGACTTATCAAACTTATTTAACTTATTTGATTTATCAAATTTTGTAAACTTATCACACTTATTGAACTAAGTAGACTTTGTAAATTTAGCAAATTAAGTAGATTTAGTGAATAAATTTGATCCATAAGTAATAGTAATGTAAAAGCTATAAAAAGAATAATTTTTGTACTGTAATAAACAAAACTTAGAGAAGTTCAATTGAAAATAAATTATTAAAGTTCAATATTTAAAAGTGTTTGTCTCTACTAACCCTTCAATAAGTGAAAATCTATAGCATGATAGAATTAGTAACCAAATCCAATGAACTCTATTAAGTGACCTGTAACATAATCCAGAGCTCTAATCTAATACCCTGGTTACTCAGACCAAGTCTTTTTATATCTTGATTATAGCCTTGTCATTATTAGGGTAGAATTAGAGTAGTATAGTTGATTGTAATAATATATATTGTATTATTTAGGCCTAATGCATTTTTCACACTTCTACAACATTCAAAAGTTTATCATAGTTACAAAAACTTTACATAAATTTATACAAATGTATAATATATACAAATTGTGAAGCTAATTACATTATTAATTATTATGTATCAATATATTGCACTATTAATCATTAATAAATAAAGAAAAAAATTCAAAAAATTCAAAAAATTATTTTTTATCAGTATCAACAAATTATCTTTTGCTTTTATTAATTACAATTATGCTCAAGAATATTCAATTAACTGACCTTGAAAGAAACTAATATTGGAGCTACTTTAACTTCTATTAGTGAAGCAATAGGCTGTAACTATGCTATAGTATTTAAGTTCTTAAACTGAGTAAGGTTATGATAGTAGATACTGAATATTATTAATTTGTATAATGATAATATATTGCTAAATTTGTATACATATTTACAAAAGTTTTTTCATATAACTATAATAAACTTTCAGAGAATACTGTATATTGTGAAAGTATAACCTATCTATAATATTAACAAATAGTATAATCTTCAACTAAAACTAAATTGAGCAAGGCCTAAAATTCTTATTTAGTAGGCTATGATTGAGGTGTAGTTAAATTTAGTCCAAGTTTGAAGACTTTGAGTTTTGCTAGTATACTTCTAGAACTTAAATAAGTATCTTCTTTACTTTAATTATAATTTCTTTATATATCTACTTGATACTAATAGCTTTACTTATTTTTTCTTGAATTCGGATCTACTGCTTATTTGAGTCATGTGTCTTATTTTAGCATTAATAGATGCTGAAATCTGATTATGTAGATATTTGGTAACAATAGATTTGATCACAAGGGTATTCACTATTCATTTTTATATAAAAAAAGTCTTAATTACTAATACAATCTTTTTTTCTCTCTTTTAACAAATTATTATAATGAGTTAACAGGGTCACAAGGACAAGAAAATACAAATATATAACTGATATAATTTAATGCAAAGGGTTTGGAACACTACTTGGATACTTCTACTAGATTAACTTTGAAGTTTTGATACCAAGAGTTGTATATCATTTATTTAAAGAAAAGTGTTGTTGCTTTTATACATTATTTTTTATATATCATAATTACATGAATAATAATAATTTTTTGTATAATAACTAATCTGTTATTTCTTTATTTTATTTTCAAATTGCTACTATCTATTCTATACTATAGATATTAAGCTTTGTTGCAATTTGCAACTATTATTATAACTCATAATAATTTCTTATTTTTTTATGATTTTTGTGATTCTCATAATTCTAAAGATTATTAGAATTGTACTACCTTGAGATCATAGCAACAATTGAAATATAATTTAGGCTAATACAAATTTGTTATTAATGATTTTATGTCTAAAATTAAATAAGTTTATAATCAAAATGTTCACTTTCAGTATAATAGACTTACCAAAAGTATTTTAATACACTAAATACTTTTGATTCTTGAAAATTTTTTCTGAATATATTAAGGACTATATCTAATTATCACACAAGTTACTACAATTTTTCTCTTAATATTAATAAGAATAATTAAAATATTGATAAAATATACACATACTATAAAATATATATATAAAAAACAAAAAAAAATTATCACAATGTAATATTATAATCTTTCTTATTATTTAATAGTGTAAAAAAATTATTAATAAACATTTGGTGCTTAGATGCACATATTTTCTGTTTATCAGAGCTAAGTATTTTTGAAAAATTTTAAGATTCTCAGCTTTAAACTCTTCATCAATTTGTTGTTCAAAGAAGCTAATAAATTTATTTAAACTCATTAGCCCTTCTGAAATAGAAATTCTAGTTGTTCTTTGTCTAAATCATTAGGATCTTTATTATTGCATTAATTTGCTTTATCTAAAACAATTTCAATAATCTCTGAATTTCCAAGCTTTTTTTAGTTATGATATGCAAATCATTAAGGTCTAAATATGTATTTAATTGGGTTTCTATTTTCAGGTCTGGGTCCTAAGAGGTCAAATCTATTACCAATTTATTGACATCTTCTTCTTGCTATTCTAACAGTGCATCCTAACTATTGGTAGCAACTTCTATTTCTTTACAGAGAACTGATGCCAAGATTTTAGTCTTTCTTTAACAATTGATAATTACTGTATCTTTAACAGCATTCCAAGATTCAAATATATAGTAAATAGCATCCTTAATATTTAATTTTTTTTTAATTAAAATTGAAATATAATTAGCATTAAACATTATTATATAATTAAAGAATAACACTAGTAAAATTTAAAAATTCATTGTGTTGAATAGCACAATTTGAATATCACTCAAACTGCTATTCAAACTACCATTCAACACTATCATATAATTTTACTAATATGCATGTCTGTAAAATCATGTGGTAGTATTGAATAGTAGTTTGAATGGTATTTGAATTATGCCATTCAATACAGTAAATTTTTTTAAATTTATCAAGGTAAGTTCTTAACTTTTTTAAATTTTCATTATTTTTAAACTGCATTAGTATGTGACAAATATATTTTTGTTTATATTTGAATTTGAAACTTTTGATAACATCTGCATCTATGAGTTGAAGATGAGCAATGATATTTGAAGATAAAAATTCAAGTTTAATATTAGTCAATTGTATATTTGAATAATCAGCAATATTATGTAGTTTATTATAACTACTACCATAATGGCCTTTACTTCTGCCAATGCTATATTTACTATAGGTACCATGATAACTACAACTATTACAACTAGTACTTGTGCCTTGATTGGGTCTGGTTAATCTTGGTTGACCTTGACGATTTCTGTGTAAAACAGCTATCATCTCAGGTTTTGAATTATTAGATGTTTCTTTATCCAAATTAGAATTTAATTCAATTGGTTCATTTAATTCACAAGTATTTGATTGGCTATAAAAATACAATGAGGCATTATTTACTATTAGCAAAACTTGGCAATTCTAAATATGAAACTTCTGATCCAAGTTTATTAACTATTCAGAAAATATGTCATTTTGCATTTATGCTTGTAAATTTGTATAATAAAGAATAGAAATAAATCATAATTAACATTATGAAATGCATAAGGAAAAATTGAAAACCCAATTACTAATGGTTTTAATTTTTCTGTTCTACTTGCATTGTATGCTAATATAATAGTAATTTATAAATGATCCTAATTATCATACAAAAATTAAATGTTTAAAATGTTTTATGTATAAATTAAATAGTTGCATCTAATTTTTTTAATGGTTTCTTCATTACGAGCCATTTACCTAATATTATACAAGATAATAATTTACCAATAATATATACCTGCATCTAAAATGTTAGTTTTAACTCAATGTGATGTCAAATAAATAATCTGTCAGTGAAATGACCATCAAAAAATAGCAATAACAATATTAAAATTAATTATAAGATATGCCAAATTAATTTTCTGTTTTACATAATTCTTTTTATTTTTTTAAAAAAATATATATAGTCAGACTTTTCTAAATGCATAGCCATGGGGTGGCCAAAATCTTGCATTTAAAAAAATATTGCATTTAGAGAGATAAAAATCTATAAGCATCATATGAGTTGGGGCCAACAAAGCCATGCATTTAGAGAAGTCTTTTATAGACTATTCATTTAGAGAATATGTATTTAAAAAGGTTCAACTGTATATATAAAGTATTACATTAACTTATCAAATTGCAGTATTATTTTTTATATTTTTTTTATAGTCAATGAAATTATTGTTCCTCTTTTTTTACAAAAAATATTTTATGTTAAACAAAGAATTAATTCAGAATAGACTAACATAATTACTAACTTTTTTAAATCTAGGTCTTGATCAAGATGCAAGTGTTTAGTCTAATGCTATATAAAAAAAAGCCTTGTTTCATCTGCATTAAACACATTATTCAATGTATAGTTTTCAATCAATTTATGCAGTTTTTCTTGATATTCAAAAGTGAAAATAATGGTGCACTATTAGCTTCTTTATGTAATCTAATGTTTTTAAGATTATTGCATTGTTTAAACTTATAAACCTATCCATTTGAAAATTTTAAAGCATTTTCACCCAGGTTCAAGTTTTTGCAAAATCTGCTGCCTGTTCTTTAATCATCAGTTTAGTTAAAAACATATTACTATTAGTAACTTGTTCGATCCAGATTCTCATTAATTAATCTAATAGGAGATATTTTACTTGTTTATGTTGAAATATAATAGAACTTAATTGGTCTTTAGTAACCATTAATCATTTTAATTATTTTTTAATATTTTAGAAACCATAGACTGATTTAATTTTAAATTGGAATCTTAAGAATTAAAATAGTTTACTATATCTATTTGTTTTTGATTAGAATTATTTTGACTATATTTATATATTTTTTGTTTTAAATATTTACTAACAGCTATCCTTTGTTTTTTTTGCAATAAATTTTTAGATGACATAATAAAGAAAGTATTCACCTGAATGTTATCTAAAGGATTTATAAAACTAACAGTTTCTTTTATATTTAAATACTTACAGTATGCTATATACAAATTTTATTAATTTTTGTAATGGCAAATACAATTATAAATTTCTCTATTTGAAAATATATGAATAACTCCAAGTAAAATTAGAGTTGGAAAATTTTAAATTTTTACTTTTTTTAAATTATCTATTGTTATTTTCAGTTTACATTATTGATAATTAATTCATATCCTGATTATTAACAAGCTTTAATTATATACTCTGTTTAGTAAATCTTGCAATCAATTAATAATTTAAATGTTACCAAAGAAAAATCTGCAAATCTAAATTTGCTGATTTTCTTTTGATGGCACTTATTTGGATTACAAATTCGCATAATAGATAGTGGGTTTTGGTCTCAAGTTCTTATGATTGATATTAGACCTTTTATTTATACAAGTTTGTATATACACCATTAATTATTTCTCTCTTGCTTTTTATATGAACTTTTTGAAGATTTAAAAAAACATGTTTTGTAATTATAGATAAGTGCAGCCAAGAAAAAATCTGTTAAGTGCATATCAGACTTCTTAAAATACTGATTATAACTACCTTAATATAGAAAGACAATAATAATTTAAGTGCTGCTAAAAGAAAATCTGCAAATTTTATTAGATAAGATTTGTGGATTTTTCCTAGTAACACTTATTTGGATTACAAATTTATATAATAAATAATAGGTTTGTGATCTCAAGTTCACGTGATAATCTTAAAATGATTTAGTCTTCAAATTCATATAGGCTTGTATATACATCATTAATGTATTTTTCTTTTTGCTTTCTATATATTTAAAAAAACATGTTTTAATAATTATAAATAAGTGCAGTTAAGAAAAAACATATCAAGTGTAATGTAAATTTTTCATCGTATTGAACTTTTATAATACTAATCATAACTTCTTTAATATATAGTTCATATCATAGTTTTTAGAATCTAAGTCTGATACAGTGAAATTTTGAAAGATGATAATGTTTTAAGTGCTGTTAAAGGAAAATTTATAAATCTTATTAGATAAGACTTGCAGGTTTTCTCTTGGCAGTATTTATTTAGATTACAAATTCATTAGATTGATAATGGGTTTGTAATCTAAAGTTCACATATTGATATTAAAATAATTTAGGTCTTAAATTTATGCAGTTTGTATATATGCTATTAATTACTGTATTTTTCTCCCCTTGATTTTTATATGAACTTCTTTTGGTAATTATAGATAAGTAAAAAATCTGTTAAATTTTTTACTAACCAAACTTCTGAAAATACTGATTAAAACTTTCTTAATATATAGTTCATATCATGGTTTCAAAGTTTATAATGAAATTTTGAAAACAATAATAATTTAAGTGCTGCCAAAAGAAAACCTACAAATTTTATTAGATAAATTTGTGGGTTTTATCTTGGTGGCACTTATAATAGGTTTGTGGTTTCAAGTTCACATAATTGATATTGGAATGATTTGGACCTCAAATTCATACAGGTTATGTATATACACTATTAATTATTGTATTTTTTCTCTTGCTTTTTATATGAACTTCTTTTGGTAATTATAAATAAATATAGCCAAGCGAAAACTTGTTAAGTGCAATATAAATTTTTTACTAAACTGAACTTCTAAAAATACTGATTATAACTCCTTTAATGTATAGTTCATATCACAGTTTTCAGAGTTTAAGTCTAGTATGATAAAATTTTAAAATTGTACTTACAGATTTTCTCTTGTTAATACTCCAATATGCTTATTATTTATAACTAACATAAGAGTTATTTGAGTGACAGAACCTGGGTAAACAACCTATAAGTTATCCATGGATTAATTTGTAGACTAATTATGAATCATCAGCAAGTAAAGTTGTTAAATGATTTATGCAATAGTTCATGTTGATCTAAGTATATTATACTTAAAACCTTTTTTGTTCTATTCATAAAATTTTTGCCTAACATTCTTGGTAAAAGGTCATTTTTGTAAATCATAATTCACAAATCATCTTGATAACTCAGCATAGCAATTAAGAGTTCTATAAATTCTGGTTACAACTTTTAGAAATTTTTATTATCACCCAATTATGTTGCAAAACATATAGAAACTTTTCAATATTGCTTAGTCTATTAAATAGAATTCATTTGATCATAAATCTATAATTAAAAATTTTGACTAAAACTCTTTAATGCAACTATTATTATTTTTACTATTTTCTTTTCAAATTGTCATGTTGCAACCACATATTTGGCACCATTTTTATTTGCTTTATATTTATCATAATGTGAAATATTTCTCATAATCAGAATTACTATATCGTCAATTTTCTATATAAGTTTAAATGCAAATAATTTTTTGCTCATACAAATAAAATTAAATAATAAATATTTCTAAATAGCTTATCTTAAATGTTTATTAATAAATGTTTTTATGCTACAACTAAATAACATGAATAAATAAAAATTATTTTAAATACTTAGATTAATAAATTTTAGAATGAGATCTAGATAAAATTATTAGTATAATGTTAATATTTACAAACTTAAATTACTGCTAATTCCTAGTCTTATGTGCATATATAGATTATGAATAGTTTTTTTTAGATGAGTCGAAGTGCCATAAAACATTCTACTATTCAGATAACCTACTTATAAGTAACCTATAGTAGAATTTCTTTTAATACCTGAGTGGCTAGGTGATCTACTCATGGGTGATCTATAGTAAAATTTCTTATAGCATTTAGATAACCTGGTTGGCACTTTTCCAGATGGGTTCAATTTCTAGTACTAGCTAACAATAACTTCCTTAATATGTCATTTCACTAACAATTAATTTATTAAGTTTATTTTACTGACAATTATTTCACTAACAGTCATTTTACTGATATAATAATTCTGGTCATTGTCATTAGAGTTAAGTTTAGAATTAAAGTTAAGGTTAGTGCAATTTTTTAAAAAACTTGTAGTAAGATGAGCTGTCAATGAAATAATTGTCAGTAAAATAAATTTGTCTGTGAATTAATTGTCAGTAAAATAAGATATTAGTGAATTGATTGTCAGTGAAATGATATGTAGTCTTAGTAAATATACATGTAACTATATAAGTATAAATAACACTTAATTTTGCAAATCTTACTTATAGCAATAAATTATTTGTATGCTAAATGATCTAAATTAGACAATACTAAAGAGACTTATGATAGCAATTAATGATTTAGTAGCTAATTTAGATTAAAAGGCCAATTTTCAAAAAAGATGAAATTTTTTATTTATTTAATGCAATAGGTTAAGAAAACAACAAAAAAACACAGATATTTATGATGGCATACTGGGTAAACTTGATTTACAATCCTGTTGATTTGATATTAAAAGCATATTCTAAATATTTATAGAATACTTTTTGAAATTTTTTATATGATTATCAATATTATTACTTCTTTTAGTTCATCAGTTTTAATATAAGTTATTATTTAGTGCTGCTAAGCAAAAATCTGTAAATAATTATAATAATTTACTAGGATTAATTACAGATTTTTGCTCTGCTGCATTTATTATAAATCATGACTATATAG